TCCTTTTCCCTCTTGTGGTCCTTATCCCATTGCACAGCAGTTGGTTGTTGGTTTGTCTGTCTCCTCCACAAGCTGGGGCCCCTCAAAGGCAGGCACTCAGTAGCGGCAGCAGTCTGTGTCCGCTGGTACTGTGTTCCTGGTGCCAAAGTGACAGAGTGGGGGTGGGGAGACAAGAGGGAAGGGAGGATGGCCTGTGACCACTGCCCTTGGTCTACAAAGAGCAGTTGTGTTAATGTGGACTCATGGGACTGCATCAGCCTGAGACCAGAAGAACTAGATGGTGCCCAGCTACCACCAATGACCGCCCTGACAGGGAACACAACAGACACTCCCTGACAGAGCAGGAGAAAATGGAGTGCAGAACTCAAATTCTAGTAAAAAGACCAGACTTAATGGTTTGATTGAGACTAGAGGGACCCTGGAAGACATGGCCCCCAGACTCTCTGTTAGCCCAAAACTAAAACTATTCCCAAGGCCAGTTCTTCAGACAAAGATTAGGCTGGACTATGGGACATAAAATGCTACTCCTGAGAGTGTGTTTCTTAGCTCAAGTGGATACATGAGACTAAATGGGCAGCTTCTGTCCAGAGGCGAGATGAGAAGGCAGAGAGGGTCAGGAGCTGGTTGAATGGACACGGGGAATCTGTGGTAGAAAGGAGGAGTGTGCTGTCACAGTATAGGGAAAGCAACTAGGGTCACATAACAATGTATGTAGAAATTTTTGTGTGAGAAGACTAACTTGAGTTGTAAACTTTCACTTAAAGTACATCAATAAAATAAACTGTACTCATGGTGCAAACGGTTTGGTAGTGGTATCCTCTGCTGCCTTGTGTGGACAGATGCTACTCATGTAGGGCCCTGAAATGTGACAGTGACCACCAGCCAGGGATATGTGAGCAGCAGAGCAAGCTGGCATTGAGTGACTCTGCAATGTAGACGGTTTGTGGAGAGCGCACAGACTCTGGATCCCATGGCTGGGGTCGGAGCCCCATGTAACCTGGACATTCATAAGCTCTACTGGACTATGCCCTTTGGTGTTTCGGGGACTAATCAATATTCAAAGTTCGGATGGATTTGCAGCTTGTGTTTTGCACAGGGCAGCCTGAAATACCTTAGGGGCGGGATAAACTGAGGTTCCCAGATGCTGGAGCAAAGGGAGCTCGGTAGCTGTGCTCTAGTTGCCAGGCTGAAAAGTGCACCATGTCAGCAAAGCACTGTTCGGTTTACCACATCACCTGGGGTGTCACCCTGAGCTCTGGGCAGCACCTCAGCGTGCACTGTGGGAGAAGGACACTGCGGGGAGGCGCACCCAGTGCGGAGGAGTAGGAGGGCGGCTCTGGGTAAGGCGCCTGTCTCCATGTGGGCACCAGCTGACTGCTCTGTGGTCAAGGTGAAGAATGGGAGCTAGCACCTAAGCTTCAGTCAGTGCAGTGGAGGGTGATGCTGTTGTGCAGCTGCTCCCTGTCAGTGTGCCCTGATGCCCAACAGGATGATTTGAAAGGGAGCATGCATCCTTGGGTGGAGTGCATCGTTTCATGATTGTGTCCAACCATGACAAATTGCCCATCTTATAAAGGGTTTATTTTCCTCTTTCTTAGTCTAAGGGAGGAGAAATCAGATGAAAATTCAGTGTATTCTAAGGTAGTTCCTGCCCTAGAATTTGACTTCAGCCATGCTGAAGGAACAAGTGCCCAATGTATACTTTTGATAATGATTTTTCCTGAATTCGATTTCTTGCTGTCCTTGATATGAATATGTTTTCTTTCTCTGAGTATATGGCTTTTTGCCTCCAGAAGATACCCTTTTCTCTGCCTTGTTGCTTCATGGGTATTTTCATTTGTGAATTCATTGTAGCCTAAAGTCTTTGTGTTCCATAACCTGTTTAAAAAAAAAAAAATCACCATGGAGTCGATTCCAACTCATAGTGACCCTATAGGACAGAGTACAACTGCCCTATAGGGTTTTCATGGAGCAGATAGTGGATTCCAACAGCTGACCTTTTGGTTAGCAGCTGAGCCACCAAATGAAATCAGAGTGTGGTTGTCCTCAGTTCTCTTGGGGGAGAGTTTCTCCTGTGACTGGGATACAGGCGTGGATGAGCAGAGCTTTGCGTGCTTCCCCATTGTTTCCTTGTCCTAGGGACTCTCCCCCCACCGCAGGCTCCTGAGATCGCTTTCTGATAAACCATGTAATGTTATGTATTTGTTACGTCCTCTCACTAGGATGTTAACCTCATGAGAACTAGGATTTGTTCGTTATGTTAGTAATTCATTACTATGAAGGAACAACAGGTGCCTGGCAAGAGAAGGTGCTCAATACAAATGTGTTGAACAAATGAAAGAAGTCGACAAGATCAGATGTTTAAGGGAAAGCTCTTTAGTAATGTTAGCTCTTGAGGTTGGATCATTGTGATGGACCAGACAAGGTCAGGTTCTTGGCAGCCCCAGTCACAGAGAGCATCTGTCATTTTCCAAAGGATACCATTGGGCCAGGCCAGCTGGACAGTGCTAATACCTACAGCTGGCCACAGAAGAGTGTGAGATGCACAGCACACACCTGAGTTCTGGGGCTGGATACTTGAGGTAGCTGCCATTTTGAAACTCAAGTTTCTAACATTGCATAGGGGTTTTCCTTCCCGTTATCTCAGCAACAATTACTTTCAGATAATGAATATGTAAAAGCAGGAGCTCTGATTCCTTGCACATTCCTGTCTAGCATGCCACACATTTCGAGAAGCACTGCGATGCGTTTGTGCTCCAAGTGAATACTGTGTTAACCCTATTACATACGGGGTTAACCTTTCCCGGCTGCCTTCACTGTCCATGAGTATCTGTTTATAACTCCTTCTATTTCCAAAGCCAGCTGTTTGGATTTTTGCTTTGCATTTGTTTATTCATCTCTCCCCTTATCCATTCATCAAACTTCAGTGTGTGTGTGTGCGTGCGTGTGCGTGTGTGTGCGTGTGTGTAGCTGAGAACACACAAATAGATAAAAACGATGTGGATCCTGCCTCCAGGAAGTCTCAGTGTAGGGGGAAGCTGTATGAGGGCCACTGAATATGTGGGGGAGTGGAGGGAACTCAGGGGCAGGGGTGGGGTTCCACGAGAAAAGACCACTGCCCTAGACAAGAATATGAGTCAGCATACTGATGGACTAATAATAATTAACAGACTGATGAATGACTGTGTGTCACCTACTTCTTGAGGAACTTACTGTGTTAGGTAACCGACTGCTATAAATAGTTGCCCTGGCAAGAAAGCCACCCTGCCACCCACTGCAAACCACAAGGCAGATGTCAGATCCCTGGGGTTTTTCCTTCCTTTGCACATTTTGGAAAACTAAGAATGGGGGTGCAGGGGGCCTAGGGATTGGGAGAGGGCCAGGAGGAAGCCAAGGAGCAGAAGCAGCTGCAGGGGGAGCTAAAACATGTTTCCCGGGAGCCCAGGGTCCTGGTGGGCTTTCCAGAGCTGTGCAAAGCACACCTGGTTCCCCTACTCATCCAGGACCCTCTCTTCTTCGGGGAGAGGTCTTCTGTTCCTGCAAGTGGAGAACTTGCCCTGGGCCAGCCAGTGCTCTGAGCTCCCCAGATATGATCTCTTAATCCACCCTAGTGAGGAAGGGACTATTATTACCTCCATTTCTCAGATGAGAAAACTGAGGGAGATTAAAGGTCAGGGTCATTGGCTAGTAAGTGGTGGAATGGAGCTACCACCTGAACACTGTCTGACTCCAAAGCTAGTGTCTCCAGCCCCAATGGGTTAGCCATCTCATTGACGTTAGCTCTGTCTCTTGTGACTCAGGTTAGGTGCTGGCTTATCACGTTGATTTGTGCACGTCTTCCTTCATAAGCTTAGAGTTCTCCGGAGGATGACAGTAGAGTCAAAGGAAACTCTTTCCCACTGTCTCATGCATTGCACTTCTAAGCCTAGAACAAAATGTTGTTGTTAGCTGCTGTCTAGTTGGCCCCAACTCATGGGGACCCCAAGCACAATGGATTGGAACGCTTTCCAGCCCTGCCCCATCCCCATGGTTGGACTGTTGTGATCTATTGCGTTTTCATTGGCTGATTTTCTGAAGTAGACCACCAGCCCTTTCCTCCTAGTCCATCTTAGTCTGGAAGCTCCCCTGAAGCCTGTTCAGCATCATAGCAAAACCCATGCCTCTGCTGACAGATGGGCTGTGGCTACACATGAGGTGCATTGGCCAGAATTGAACCTGGATCTCCTGTGTGGAAGGCGAGAATCCTACCACTGAACCACCACTGTCCTCTGGACGGCCTTATAAAACTACAGGGCCAAATGCCCACACTAATATTACCACAATATTTAGGCTCTGTTTTCAGTTTCACTTGTGGGAACAGTTCTAGAAAAGTCTGTCTATTTGAATGCAAGTCCTGGGCGAGGAGGGTGTTTTCTGGCATCTTTGTGAGGATCATTGGGCAGTGTGGAGACCCCAGGGGAATCAGCCTCCCTTCTCTGGACCCTGCTCCCTGTGCTCTCCAGAGAGGAGGAGCCTGGACTGCTGCAGAGGTCCTTAGCTTGGGAGCCCATGAGTCCTTTGATCCTGAAGGTGAAGTTCTGTATTATAGGAGAGGTGTGCCTTTTTCTTGGGGGGAAGTTCCATGATTTTCATGAAATCCTCAAAAATGACTGTGACTTAGCAAAAGTTGGAAACCCTGGTGACATAGTGGTCAAGTGTTCGGCTGCTAACCAAAGGTAGGCAGTTCGAATCCACCAGGTGATTCTTGGAAACCCAGTGAGGCAGTTCTGTTCTGTCCTGTAGGGTCACTGTGAGTTGAGATCAACTCGACGACAACGGGTTAGCAAAAGTTAACACAAACCTGGACTCCAAACTCCAGGTCTTGTCAGGTTTGGAGTTCTAAAACTTTCTGACAGGGGACATGGTTAAGGATGGTTCAGTTTTGGGAGCCTGGATCACTCCATTCTGCCAAATTTTCTCTTGAGCACCCTTTTGCTAATCACTCTGCTTCTCTCTTTAAGGTGGCGGTCCCCTGCTGTGTGCCAGTCCCCTGGGAACAGGTATGTCCTTTGCATTTCTTTAGGTTGCTGCAGCATCTTGTAAGAGGAAGTTTCTTCCTTTACTCTGTTTGAACCTAGGAAGCTCACCATGACTGTGTCCCTTTTGGGGAGTGACCCTGGCTCTCCCCTCTATGGGGAATACCATGTTCCCTCTGGGACCCACTCATTCCATATGTCCAGTATCCTTTATTCTTGGAGTGCCCCACGGGGACCTGGGACCACCCTGCATCATGCCTGGCCTGCTTTCCTCATGAGGAAAGAGTCCATGTACCTGTGTATGAACAGTAGCCGATAGAAGGCTGATTTCCAAAATGTGATGATAATTCATATCCATACTTTACCACTTCATTATTCTGACATCAGCCACCTACGTGATACTTTTTCTTTCTGATCCTAACCACCCAGAGTTGGGTCTCCACAAGTTAGGGCTCTGTCCTTCCAGCCTCTGCCAAATAGGCAAATGCTAACCTCTGTGCTGGTTCCCACTATCCCCAGTGGCTTCGATAATTTGCTGGAATGACTCACAGAACTCACGGAAACTATTACCTATACTTACAGTTACCCATTGATTATAACCAGAAAAGACACAAGGATAGAGACGCATCAGGCAAGGTCTGGGAGAGTGCCCGGCATGGGGTCTCCATTGTTCCCAGGGACATGCTGTTCCCTCTTCCCTGCATGGATGCTCTCACCCATCCAGGAGGCCCCAAAGAGAGAGCTCCAAGGTCCAGAGTCCCCTGGTCATGGAACCCCAATGAATATGCATGACTAGTACCTCAATGCATAGTTATGATTGATCCAATCAGTGAATATGCATGATTGCATCTTGCCTCCTTCATTCCTGAGGTTAGCTCGCCAGTACCGCAGGACGAGGGCCGTCCTGGTCTCTTATCATAGGCGGGGAGTGACTCACAGGGGTCCAGGTGAGGCGGCCGCTTTGCTGAAGGGAGTGTGCTCACTTCCCAAGTGCATCAGGAGCTCAGGAAACAGGTGCCTGTGCAGCCTCTTCCCGCACACCTGCCGGGTGTGTCCCTAGACTCCCCAGACTGGACGTGGCTTTGTGTCTGGGCCCAGATTTTGTTGTTTGCAGCACTTGAAGAGACCTACTTGGGTGTGGTCAGTATGCCTGCTTTGGTATCTTTGGGCTGAGATACCAGAGCTGGCTGGTCTCTGGTGTCTCTGGGCTGGAGCTGGCCCTTCCTTCCCTGCACCAGCAGGAGAACCTTCCCTCTGGGCTCAGCACCACAGCAGCTGGTGCAGTGGACTTGCTGTGCTGGCTGAGTGGCTGTGTTTGCCTATTTAATATTCCCCCCCCACCCCTCCCATCCCTGGTAACCAACAAGAATTGTTACATTTTGCGTGTGAACTTTTTCATGGGTTTTTACAATAGAGGTCTCATACAATA